ATAACATTAAATCAGTTTACCCTTGGACAAATTAATTTATACATAATCTAAATAGGTTGAATATTTATGTGAACGTGGAGCTGACGTTAATCGTGGACAAAGGTCTTCCTCGTTACATTATGCCGCTTGTTTTGGACGCCCTCTAGTAGGAAAAGTTAGTATTAGTCTTACTTAATGGTACTACAACTAATCGTTCACTTCTGCTAGAAAATTGATAAAGGAATTTTATATAGACTTTTCTCAAACTTTGTTAGTGTTCATTTAGTATGCAATTAATTAAATCGATTAAAAAAATTTACAGATTCTACTACACCATGGTGCTAATCCTGACCTAAGAGACGAAGATGGTAAAACGCCGATAGAAAAAGCGAGAGAGAGATCTGACGAGGGTCATAAGGAAATTGTACGAATATTACAATCACCAAGTAAGTTAAGCTTATTAATTAGCTAATTTCTTGCTGTATGAGCGATCATTTAAAATTAAATTATCCCTGGACATATTTGTATGTGCAGGTGAATGGATGACTGTAATAGAAACACAATCAACTCCAGAAATTGAAAACGATTCCAAATCTAATAAGGATGAAAACTGCGCAGCAGATACGAATAAATCCATAACTGACGAAGGTGTTGATGTTCACGATGATATGAAAGGCGACCCAGAAATGGCACCTGTGTTTACTAAACGATTACTCTCTCTATTTGTTAAAACGTATCAGTCGACAATGACATATTCTATTAAAAAAGCTGTTCTTGTTGTAACACGAAAGCTGATTCACTATGCAACTCCTACTTTGTTAATGGATTTTTGTAACTCAACTGGTCAATCCTTTGTCACTGCAATCGTTGAAGTAATTGGCAATTCGCTCGAAAATCCTGATGATGAAGAAACCCAGCAAATTGCACTTCAAATAGCCCAGGACTTACTGAAAAAGGATCGTGAATCTTTCTTAAAGCAAATGTTAAGATTGGGTGTACTGAATATCATTTGTTCGCTAGTTGATCTCCCTGTTCAATCTACTAAGGAAGGAGATGCAGAAATTTGTGTGACAGAACCAACGGAGCAACCTGAAACATCTGATGCTACACAAATATCTCAAGGCATTCCATATATATGGAAAGACTGGTGTTTTGCTTACCATCGCGACTGTTTATACGCATGGAACGATTTCTGTGCGCTAGAGTTGCCTAGTGGTAGTAATGGTTGGTTTAGATTTGTTTGGGATGGTAAATTGGCGACAATGTACTCTAGTGGTAGTCCAGAAAGCGGTCCAGAATCGCCTGAAAGTCGAACTGATTTTCTTGATAAAATTGAACAAGCCCGGAGTCATATTGCATCTGGATCAAAAAGCATTCCAATATTATCCAAAACAAGTGACGCAAAAATTGAATTTGGCAATTGGTTATTATCGAGCCCTGCAGACGGCCAACTGCACATTCGTAGCGATGGACAACAGCAACTTACTGTACTCCGTGAGAATTATCCAGGATTCATATTTGAATCAAATCGTGGAACTAAACATTCGTTTACAGCGGAAACAACCTTAGGACCTAAATATGCGGGCGGCTGGAACGGTGAAGGTGCTAAAAGATTTTTAGTCAAGCATGAAGCAATGAAGCAGAAAATTAAAACTTTAGCTAGCGAAATTCGAGCAACGTACTTTGATAACGTTGAAATAGGACACGACGATGTTTTGACTGAACTAAGAAAAGTAGCAGATAGATTAAGTGATGCCTGCCTAGAAATTGAGAATTCTGCAGATAACGATGAGCTACAATTAAATTTAAAGAAAATGGAATCCGTCTTACCAACTCTTGTTTCTTATTTTAAAGATGAGAAAACAATCTCTACATATGAATTACAAAGCAGTGGTTTGGTTACTTCTTTATTATCATATTTTAACAGCTACGCTGACGGACACAGAAAGAACACCGCCGTTGGCTGTTCTTATGTTACGAATAGTCTAAAATCCTTTATTCAGGCGTTTGGTAACTATGAATGTTGCGACAACAAACTAAGCTGTAGACCGGCAGTAAACTTAGTTCGCAAACTTGTATCAGTCACGGAATCGGTAGATCGATCGCCATTATTCTTATATGAAAATTCTTTTTCAAGTAATGGTTTACAAATTTTAACACGTAAAATGCGTATTCACCTAATAAGACATCCTGAAAGTACAGATTTAATTGATAGAACTGGAAAAACTTTGAAAGTGGAACCGTTAACAACTATTGGAGTTATATCTAAATTTTTACATAAAATGGTTGCTAAGCAATGGTATGATTTCGAACGGTCTACATTTAAATTTGTAATTCAGGCTAAAGATAATGGCATAAAGGAATTTAATTATGTGCGCGATTTCGATGAAAACGGTATCCTATATTGGATTGGAACAAATGGGAAAACTGTATCTGAGTGGGTAAACCCAGCACAATTTAACCTTGTTTCGATTACTTCGTCGGAAGGTCGCGGTCTACCATACGGAAAACTGGAAGACATTATAAATCACGACGGACCAGCAACTAATTGTCATACCAGCGACGATAAAGGTGCTTGGTTTGCTATTGATCTTGGTGTGTGGTTTATACCTAAGTATTATACGCTACGGCATTCCAGAGGGTACGGTAGATCAGCCTTACGAAATTGGCTTTTTCAAGTCTCCACTGACGGAGTAAACTGGATTACAATAAAAACTCACACTAATGATTCCTCTTTGAAAGAACCTGGATCCACGGCATCTTGGATTTTAAGTCCACCAACAGATAGCGGTAGTTGGCGTTATATTAGAATCCTCCAAAATGGTAAGAACGCAAGTGGTCAAACCCATTATCTTTCCTTATCAGGCTTCGAATTGTATGGTTCTGTCACCGACGTTGTCACTGAATCACAATTTGGTAAGGCAATAAAAGAAACTGAAAGTGCCTTAAAACGTCAACGTAAGCTTGTTCAACAAAATTTATCGAAAATTGATATTGGTGTAAAAGTAACACGGGGATTAGACTGGCAATGGAATAATCAAGACGGAAACCCTCCTGGAATTGGAATCGTCACAAGTAAACTTCGTAATGGTTGGATAGATGTGAAGTGGTGCCATGGTGGTTCTTATACTTATCGGATGGGTGCACAAGGAAAATATGATCTAAATATAGAAACCAGTGATAAAGCAGAAAATCCTGAAGATGACCTATCCGTTGGTAATTTTGAGAGTGCGATGGACGACCCAACGACGGTAAATATGGAAAGTGCCAGCACTGTGAAAGATACGGAGGTAGTAGAGGAGATGGATGATGAAAATGTTAGTAAGACGGTTGAAACATCATACTCACCCGAGGAGTGTAGTACTGATAGCGATTCAAATGCTAAAATCACAAAAAGTACTAGCAGATTATCAACACATGGCAAATTTACATCAACTTTGGTTGTTCGAATGAATTCGTCTCCAAAGGTAGTAAATTACCCAGATTCATCTACCAAAATATCAGCAGAAATCCAAGAAGTTCCTGAAATAGGACGATGTGGAAAAACTTCTCCTATTCTTGCTATGATGAAAGAGTTATCAGAAAACATTTCGAGAAATGACAATGAAATCAATAATTTGCATAATCCTTTAGAATCGGAGACGGAGAATGAAAGTGATACTGATATAGACAATTGCCAAAATTCAACGTTATTAGCTGAAATGCAAGATGATGACATCCATGCTGTAGATGACGAGAATGAAGATGAATTTGAGGATGATGAAAGACAAGATAACAACATAGAAGACAGTGGAAGAAATTGGGACGATGACCATATATTAAAACATCAATTTGACGCATTGATACCTGCTTTCGATCCTCGCCCAGGACGTATAAATATACCTCAGACTACTGATGTAACTGTACCTCCTCCCAATTTCATAATGAATACTAGATCAGAAAGTGAAGGCTTGGGTGAACGATTATCGCTGTACTTACGATGTACTTCGATACCTGAAATTGATAAGATCGAAGTAGAATTAGATGATTCTGAAGCGACAATATTTACATATATACAAAAAATTATTGAGACCATCGATAAACCATTTAAATATGAGCAACTTAGAAGAATTTTCGATGCTTCTTTCGTAATATCATACAAGCTAACTACAACATCCGCGAACCAACTAAATAAGCCAAAAAAGACTAATTCGGATTTATACGACTACACCATTAATAACCTTTCGCTTATTCGTGTTTTATACTCTATTTTTAATAATGCTCTTGATGACGAAGAAAGAAACTTGAACAACGAAGTGTATGTACCAGCCGAAGAATTTATTAGTAAAAAACTAACAACCAAATTGCAACAGCAGTTACAAGATCCAGTTACAGTTGGCTGCTGTTCTGTACCTCAATGGTGTAATCTTTTAATTTCTCGATGTCCTATGCTCTTTCCGTTTGAATGTCGTGAACTTGTATTTAATTTTACTTCATTTGGTGTTCCACGAGCAGTTGATTTACTACAAACTAGGCTGGATTCTAGGAGTTTACAGTCGCGAAGTAGTAGTTCGAGACCGTACGATATCCAAGACTGTCACATTGCTCGTCTAAAGCATGAACGCATTACGGTACCTCGTGGAGAGGAATTATTAGATTGCGCTATTAATGTTATGAAATTTCATGCTAAGCGAAAAGCTATCCTAGAAGTAGAATTTGTAGGTGAAGAAGGTACAGGTTTAGGTCCAACTTTAGAATTTTATGCTCTTGTTTCTGCAATTCTTCAGAAAAAATGCTTGGGCATCTGGTTGTGTAACGATGCTGTTACAGAGTTAGAAAGAGAAGTTGATATTGGCCATGGTTTACAAACTTCAGGATATTACGTGCAACAGCCATTTGGTCTATTCCCGTCACCTTTACCGCAATCTACACGTACCGATCGGGTTGTAGAACTTTTTCACTTTTTAGGCACTTTTCTTGCAAAATGTATACAAGATAACCGATTAGTTGACTTGCCTTTGTCAACACAATTTTTTAAATTGATGTGCTTTTCAAGTATACGCGACAAAAATAATGATAACGGTAGCGTAAGTGATAACAGTCCCGGTAAAAGTCTTGATAATAAAACTTGGTTCGATGGAATATTATCGTTTAAAGACCTAGAAATTATCGACCCTCATAGGGCTAAATTTTTAAGGAATTTAAAAGAGTTAGTCGATAGGAAGCATGAAATTCTAAATAGTTCATTATCTGACAAGGAGAAAAATGACAAGTTATCATCATTGACTTTATCTTCGTCTGACGATTCGCAAAGCGACATTAAATTAGAAGATCTATGGTAACTTATTGTTTGATTTTGTAAATATATCTACGAATACAATCTTATGCAAATCAAAATTTTTTTTGTAGCTTAACATTTCAATATTCACCATCATCAATTATTTATGGTTACGAGACTGTTGATCTTATTGCAAATGGAGGAGAAAAAGTTTGTCACATTGTAGAGATAATGCAATAATTTAATGTCTATGCACGGATTCGATCCTAACTTCTTCGAAACTGTTTATTATGATAGATACTTACTGTTGAAAATGTAGAAGAGTATGTCGATTTGATGTACAATTTCTGCTTCCGTGACGGTATCCAGAGACAAATAGACGCCTTCAAAGGTACGATCATCTGCTTATTAGTCACCTAAAACACACAGTCATGCCCACTGTTCATTATAATTATATGAATTGTTATTATCTATATGTTACTATGATAGAGGGTTTTGATTTGGTCTTTCCAATGGAAAGTTTAGCCTTATTTACTCCAGAAGAAGCAAGAAATATCTTGTGCGGTGATCAAAGTCCACAATGGACCAAAGATGATTTGTTAAACTATACTGAACCGAAAAATGGTTATACTCGAGAAAGGTATAGCTCCTTACTCATTGTAGTTATCCCTTCTAATCTAGTTGAATCATAAATTATTAACGGGCGTTATATTTTTTAGTGCTGGCTATTTACGTTTCATAAATGTTGTTTCAAACTTTGATAACGATGAAAGAAAGGTGAGCTAAATAATATTCCTATAAAAAATATTATCTGATCATCTAATAGTTACGATATTAAACACTTTTGCCCTTAGGCTTTTTTACAGTTTACCACTGGATGTTCATCACTTCCACCTGGTGGATTAAGAAATTTACACCCTCACCTTACTGTGGTTAAAAAAGAAATGGAATCGAATGGTACCCACCCCTCAGTTAACACGTGCGTTCACTATTTAAAATTACCGGATTATGCATCAGAAGATATTCTTAGAGACCGTTTATTGGCAGCGACAAAAGAAAAGGGATTTCATCTTAACTAAATTTTATCTGTATAGTTTATTAATCTAATTACCGATATATGAGGTGTTTACAGCATCATGTATTTAAATTTTTGATATCATTTTATGATTCTTACTAACAGTTATTTAATTACTAGTAAGAAAATTGATGCCAGTCGTTGTAGTAGTATCTTATGTATTTTAACGGAAGTCATTTTGTATAATATCATTTAATCTGCTCATTATATATTGATAAGATATCGCAGATCCGCACGTTAAACTCTGCGATTTAGTTAATGTATCGCTGGTATAGTGGCTGCAACTAAATGTACAAATAAGAACAGAAAACTCGTACAAACGTTAAGTGAATCCAGATTATATTTATAAAGGAAGTACTAGTAATGTTAAAGAGCTAATTGATGTAGATACGTCCTAATTTGTTGTAATCCCAACTTACTACCAATAAAGCGTACGCAATATGTTTACGACTAAGTGCATATATGCGATATACTGTCTGTACGTGTATATGTACGCATACTGTATGTGTAACATATATATTAAATTATACATTGTAACTAGTAGAATATACAGTATTTACACTAAAAGGGAATACGTACACGCATGGTTAGTATGTGTAATGACCCATACATAGTTATCCGATACTCAGTCATAGTTTGGGAAATTCATTAAATTATAGCATTCATTATATTTATTTCTTGGAGGGTAGTAGTAGGTGCTTACGCTACGTTAGGTATGATTTAGAGACTACAAAATCTAGCTCTTCAATTAAGTAAGTCTCAGAAATCACGGTATAGCTATTAACATGAAGCGGTGCTGATCATAATTATTTCACCGTAGCAAAGTTATCACCCTTAAAGGTTAAAAGCGAATGCATTAAACTAATCTTGAATTCGTTTTTATATTAATTTTAGGGTGCTGTAATGTATTTAGTATTAAATGATTGACTAGACTCGACTAATGAATGAAATTTGAAACTTTTAACGATTCATGGTACGTATGTCACTACTTCTAGTCGATCAAATGTTGATTAATTGATTTCAATGTAGACCCTACCATAGTAAAATAATTGCTACCGTCCAGTTTACAATAAAATATGGATAGTATTTCACTGGAAAGGGAGAGCAGATTGAAATAGGAAGTACAGCGTAGTGTTTAGTGCACTGTAGTTATACACTATCATCTGACTACTGATGCATATCTTTACGCACCATACTGTACACCACCACGATAGTGAAATCGTCTATAGTAATGATGATTCGTAATACTGTAGTGCGTATCCTTATAGTGAGCTATACAGACTTGGTAAACTGGATTCAATATGCCGTAGGCTATAGTATCGCGATCTGGAGGCATTCGAGTGGTTGAGTATATAACAACTTCCAGGTTGTCACTGGAAGTAATATTTACAGCGATACTGTACAAAAACTGCGTTGTTTAGTCTCTTGTTAGTCCCTCTAGGGTACAGCATACAGAATACGGTTACTATGGTGACAACATTCGTGAAAGGCTCAATCACCCTACTATACATTTATCAAGCAATTAATGTATCTAGAAAGGCATTAAACACCTGTTTTAAACTGATAATTTACTTAAATTGAACCATTAGCCAATTTCAGTCTTCAATCACTTCATATCCAGTGTCGTATATTATATATTCTCAGATGAACAGACATGACGGAGGCACCAAGGAGTCTCGATACTGCTCAGTACATGGAAAATTTAAAAGAAAAAGAAGAATTAAAGAAGAAACTAGCTGAGAAGGAAAAGGAACTGGTCGAAGCATTAGTTAGAAGTTACGATTTACAAAAGAAATTGGATAAATTACAGGCGGTTAGTAAATATATTATAAATATGTTTCCGTCCAGAATGTAAATAAAAACTCATTTAAAAATTGAATGAGTCACAGTTTTGTCCCAAGTTTTTACTTACTAACTTCCTGATATATTGATGAGATTTTAAATTATTTTATAAAGTATCTGCTCTAGTATTTTCGAATAAGCCGAGTTTCTTTACTAAGGGTTACAGCGATTAATGAATTATAAACATTAACCTTCAATTATCATGCGTAGTTCATCCATTATACTTTAAGCCTATATTTAATATTTAAATAATCCTATAATAATAAATTTTGAGTTACAATGCCACCAATATCCTTAAAAGCCATATTTGTGTTCAGTGTATGCTATCGTCATGACTATCGCAAATTAAAGTATGAAGATAAGTATACATACATATACTTAGCGTCAAACACGTTAATGTTGAAATTCCCTATTTTGAATACTGAAATTCACGAAGCCTAAATTTTAATTATGAAACTGATGTATTCTAATTAAAATACAACACACATAAGATTGCTTAGCAAATTATGTTGAAAATTTCATGCGAAACAGTATTCCATACCGTATGACATAAAAATTGTAACTGGTCTAAACATTCAATGCATAGATCAAACGTGCTACCAATGATTTATAAGACCAATGTTTCGTTCGGTGTGACGTTAATATATTACTTGAATCATTGATTGTAGGATAAAAAATCAGCTCCTAAACTCACTTCAAAGCCGCCCAAAAGAAGAGCTGGGAAGAAAAAGAAAGGTAAAAAAGACGGCAAGGAAGATAAAACAGAGGATATTTCATGGACTACGGAAAAATTTTATGAGGTAATCACTGTTATATACGGTATATCCTACAATCTAGGGATATAATTAGCGTATGCCATCTAAATTAAAGATCAGGGAATTTAGTATGCATTTTAATTAATCATAAATTCGTTACAGACTAATAAATCAAACTATCACTATAATAAAAAATAGTTACAGCTTCAAACATAAAATTACCATTCTTTTTTGCATGCTAACCGAACATCATAACATGTATACGCCATGGCAAAAATATAAAATTTATAGTCTAGCTGTTTATTACGTATCTGCAACCATCTGCTGTAGTTACTATATCAAACATACTTACGGTAGTATACGAAGTTAAAGCGAATAGCTATAAATTGAAATATGTCTAAAGAAATTGATAGACATACGTGTACTGCAGCATTAGTTAATAAGCACCATACTATTACTTTAGAGTAAGGAAATTTATTATTAAATGATCCCTTAGCATTGTTTAAAAATCCAGATTCTGAGAATGTACGGCAGATTATAATTACTATACGCATAAGCTTTGAACTTCTTCATTTATTGTAATTTAGGAAGTGGCAGAAAAATTTCCCGAAATGACTTTGTCAACCCTCTTAGCAGCTGAAAAGAAATTCATGGAAGCTGATAAAGACGGAAATGGGGTAAGCTGAAATGTTTATAAAATTACAAACACTAGAAAGCTATCATAGTACTTCTAAAGTTAAGCGACGCTTAAAATTTTTCTGCAAGCTAATTAGTACAATTGGACAAGCAGGTAGCTATCTAAATTGCAATTAGAATCTTATTCATGCGATAGAAATCAAGATAGCTTTCGTACATTTGATGATAATGATCAAGCTGTACTACATGTAGTAGTTGTAATGGTCAAATATTCTTATACAATTTTGATTCTTGTACAATCCTGTTTACGTGAAATGTTGTAGTATGTACTTGTCATGAGTTTAGATGGATAAGCAGACATACCGTATATATTGCAATGCGAAGATATTACGAGCGAGTACTATGAACAATTAGAATATGGTATTGGTGGAATAATCGACACGAGATTTAATGATATTTAATCTGCGAATCATAATATATAGATATTTATTAGAATTTAGGTCAATTTTATATAATTTAGACTATACGTGAGCGATTTCATTACACATGTATACCATGATGTGTATCATTTTAAGATGAGGCCCATGATAGTGTAAAAATACCCAGAAAGTTCAATTCAACTAATCCTACATTAATACAAAGTAAAGAATCTGTACTACAAATTGTTTCAATTTTAGAAGTTCGAACTAATTGAGAGTCTTACACATGTACAATCAAATTAACTCCCTTCGAATTAAGATCAGTTGCAAATATATACATTTATTGCAAATTTTTGTATTTATAAAGGAAATTGATGAAAAAGAACTAGAAACAATTCTTCAACAAAGTAATTTGTTATTTACAAAATTCCAAATTATGGAAATTATTCAATCAATTGATGTTGATGAGTCTAGTACGTTAGACTTCATGGAGTGTTTAGCGGTAAGAATATATTCTTCATATCTTCTATCTGTTAAGATTTCTTACTTATTCACGCTTTAAAATTGTACTCTTAATTCAATAAGAATTACCCTTTTAAATGATTACAATTATTAAATAGTTTTGATAGGAAATTATATCAAATTTTTTTTCCAGGTCATTCATGCATTGCAACAAAATCGGAAGACTGCTTTGCCCCAATCTATTCAACAAAATAAAAGTACAATATGCGTAATACAATAATATCTACGAACGAAATTTAGCGATAGATTTGCTTAAATCCATCCTGAATATCATAACACTTACCTTTGACTTGATTGTAAACGTATAATGTCGATCTAAGATGTTAAGGGTTGGTTAGAACATCCTAAATTTACGTTCTACGGTATACAATAACGCATGTATGGAGCGTATAATGAGCTTCTCTTAAGTAAGCGTACAAGACAACTGACTGACGAGTCAGTTTTTAAATTTGCAATTCACCTTTATATCATAATGCGATTCTTTCATTAACTTAACGAGGTATCTAAATGAAACATAATCGTTTTGTTGCTTAAAACGTTAAATCTACCTTTAATGATCAAAATCTACAGTAATGGATTACTCTACTATACAGTACATACATTGTCAAAAAGCTATTTTATCAAATATACTTATGTAACTTCTTAAGAAAATGCTTATTTCAGTCGGAGAAGATCGCTTATTTATGTATCTGGTTTTCAGCTTAATGTACTGTATATCATATTGTAATTATATTATTGATATTACAGTATTATGATACCTTAAGAATATGAAAATCTTGTATAACAAGCACGGCCAACTCAGGATGGAATTAAGTGCTTGGATTAGAATAGTGCTCCGACGTATTAGATAATAACTTTACCTGTTTAATTATCGTTAATCTTTTCTAAAGGTGTTATAGAGTTGCTTGAAAAAAAGTACGGCGAGATAGACAATCGTACACTCAGACAGCGAGGTTTTATATATTTTTTGCAGACAAGAAAAGTTTATTAATGTAACTAAAATCATACTTTTGTTTATTATATATTCAGCATAGTAATTTCGCTGATGTTTTACATCATGATAGGTTGAATAAAATTGCAAATTGTTAAAAAGTTTCGTATTAAACCGATTAGTCAACCTGATACATAAACTTAATGTCAAACAATGACGTGTAACCTGCTGTTTATTGATCATTCGAGGGAAGACTACATCTGGAAATTTTATATCAAATCCATATCAATTAATGTTTGGCAATAACATCACGCCACACTTTACACATTCAGTAGCATATTTTTAAATTGTTTTTACTAATTTTTTTCGATCGCAGTAGCAAGGTACTTCTTTCGCTAAAAACTTTCATTATATGCTATACTACAGATTTCTTTCCTAAACATGCGATATATTACCCATTACGGTGAAAACTTTTAATATTGAACTTTGAAGTAAAGTCTATTCGGTGTTTTAACAAGTTAAGAAAGATGAAAAGACTTTACTATTATATTTATATTGAGTATTGTTATCTTATGCAATCATCATTATATACTATATTAGAAAAAATGATGTTATACAAAGATATCATAGCAATTCTTTAAGTTACAAGTTTGAACGATAAAGTTCGAAAGACACGGACGTTTATGCGTACATCGAAATTTTTTGAATGCTTTATGCCATATCTGTTTAGATATATTGATTATCATGTGTTTTAAATCGAGTGAGATTAAATATTGTATCGGTTACATGTTAAGATCCAAAATTTGCAAAGGAGAAAAAATGGATTGTGATAATCGAGTATATCTAGGTCTTAAAAATTTAAAAACCAGTCTTAAGAAATAATTCATTGGAGTACAGATTCTGTTTGAGTACATCACAGACGCGCTTTTAATAACTTATAAATAAATGGTTTCTCTTTCGCTGCACATACTGTACGTATATCTAAGATTTACTACTTAAGTGCCGCATTTCATCGCTTTCTTAACATACAAATATGAGCCGTAAGCAAGTATTCCAAACGTTGCTTTTCTGCTTGCAATAGAGAAATTTGATCCTTTAAATTGCCTTGCTCCTTTTCGAGTACCTCAGTCTCCTGTTATCAACGGACATACAATTATTTGAACAGTTCGATTTTTCGATTAGAATTTATCCAACTGAATAAAAATATTGAGTACAGAAAAATCTATTTACAAAGACTTTGGGTAGATCTTTAATTTTCAAAATTATTACTATTTAGGTTTATAATATGGACTAGATAAGTCAGCGTAAACTAATTAACTTCTATAACCTTGGTGAGCGTTTCTATCCTTTTCTTTCTCCGATTGCGGCATCTCATCGCTGCGACTTTGTTTTTTTCTCTACGAATCTTTTTTCTTTCGTCCTCATCTAACTGTTTTAAAATGAAACACGAAATTCAGCCTTTTAATTTTTAAATAACATTACAAAGTAATTCACGAATGCATACTATAATTTCAGATATGGCAGTATACAATACTAAAAATTTCGCATAAATTACATAGTTGTGCAGGACAGCGAATTTAGTACAGGGCTGAGATACAAGACAATTTTACTACTATTTTTAAGAGATTCACTTGTTTAATTAATACAGTAAGTCATTCAGGTATTACATCTCTTAGCACGGTACTATGGCAATGGTGTACTGTATGTTGTACGAGGAGCGCAATTTGTAACATAGTAGTAATCCTTCGAAAAACAGGAGCTATTTGCTTTCAGTAATATACGTTTAGTATACTTACAGTACTTGGAAGAACTATTCCTATTACAGTACATAATAATAATAATTATTATTATGAAGACTGTATACTGTTCTGTACTGTACTGTACATAACATAATACGCGTATACTCTCGTATGTTAAATTTCGCATACAGTATACCGTAACATGACAGCAAGTTCCATTCTACAATGGCTTCAACAAAACTCTGCGTATACTGTAGGTTTGATTTGGCGTACATCGGAAATATCTTCATGCAGTTTAATTATAACTGATAGGAGATCGATAGATGACAAAACAGTTAGAATAGAACCTGTAAGCCTGATCAGTGTTCAAGAACAATAATAGAACTTCACTAAATTCTGGCAATATTGACAGTATATTAATTGTCTATGTATTAAAATATAGTGATACAGCGAATTTGGGCAAATACCCACTGAATAAAATTGATATTGACTGTAATCCTGTCAACAACCTCCTGTAACTATCAATTAGATGAATTAGATAAAGAGCCAGCCAGTCTTTCACTTCTATCTAATCAAATCACTCGCTACATCGTCATAGATAATGCAAATTCTTCGGTCAGCTAAGCATAGTGTATCCTCGGTATTATCTTGTTTTGTCATTTACTGTAGCATGCTAGTCTCAAGTTACAATCACGAAATACAGTACAATAGTCATATTTTCCCTCCTTATGTCCATCACCGTACATTAGTTATCATAATGTGCTTTGTAGCATCAACTAAACTTAATATAGCATTTTATCCGTGAATGCATTATTGGAAAGTAGTATTCTACAAGCATCGCTGTGAATATAGTAGTGTCTGGCTATTACCGGGATATATATAATGTCGAATGGTAATACGATCTGTTAATTATTAACAAATGGGTACATTATCGTAAACCGTCAGCAAAGCGACATGAGTTTGTACTAGTGTACATAAAAGTGTGAGAGAAAATATACAGTAGACCTTTAGCATAGGTAATACTGTACAAAATCTTATGGAAATAAATAACTATTGTAGTACCGTTACTGTACACTGTACAGTACTGTACAGTACTACTATTATAACGTGTGATCCGTTTCCTTCGATATATTTGAATAGTAAAAATTAGAAGTAAACGCTTAAAAAAGATCAATCGCTATGAACCTTCCTATACGCATAGGTCTCTTATTATAGAAAGTTACCTACTAATTGATTCATCTTTATCCCAATTAGAAATGGCTACTGTGATCAAGCGAAAACTCGCCATTATACAGTAATTTTTTATGCCTTCTTTTGCATGCTACAATACAGTAGGAATTCTATAGTACTGTACAGTACGTACTGTACACTCAGGCAACTGTTACGGCGCGAACTGTATGTTGGTAGAACCGACCGTACATGTACCAGTGACTGTTGGTTTGTATTAGAACTTCAAAGAAATAAAATAACTTCAACTTTTGGTGCCTACAGTGATAATAATACTGTACATACGCTACAGTACATTTTTAAAACAGATGTTGCATGTACTGTACTGTAGTTGCATGGCAGACACTTACTGTACTGTACAGTACAGTGTACAGGTACTGTATCTCCGTTATTAGTACTGCACTGTCATGGACTACTACAGTACGGACTGCAAATATTCCGGGTTAAAGCAGCAGTCCCCAGATATCTTTGAATCGACTATTAATATCCGCATATTTTATATTTACAACATAGCATACTGTACTGTACAGTAGCATATCACAATAGTATCTAGAATTATGATTATAAAACAAAGTTACAATTCATGCACATTGTATCAAGTCATTGTATGCTTGAATTTGAAGTACTGTAGATGGATTATATGAGAGATACCTTACGGTAATACCTTCAAATTTCAATAGGTAATATAGAAGATTAGCCAAAATAGAAATATAAAATTACACACTACCAGTAGTGTACAGACTCTATAAATATGTAGTTATTTTATTATTACCAGCCTCCCAGTAATAACAAATGGGATAATAAAGCATTTCATAATAAATGATATCGGCTATGCCGCACGACAGGCTTTAAGATCTGTAGTGTATGTATGTCTGTATAATACTCGTATATTCTTGATTTATACGAACTGAAGTCTCGAAAGCTCCAGTTTCCGATAGTAGTGCCATGGTTAATGTCGTTGAAGGATCAGTAAAAGCAGTCCTTGTTATAACACTAGAGTAACAAACAACGCTGCATAAAAGATATGCATACTGTATAGTATATAAATGCCAAAGGAAATAAAAATACTAAAAATACCATACAATTTCGGTTGTAACGTGATCGTGTATCTAATTCGAGGGTGAAAGCAACTGTTGTGAAAGACATGGAAATCAATCTCATACATGCCGTAAGATTTCCTTTACCGAAATCATCAGAGGTTCTAACCCGAAATTACTTTATAGGTTAGCTAGTAATTCTGCTGTGATAGAAACGTCTAGATTATAAGTAGACATGTTTTATGACGATTGGTGATATCATTATAACATGGTGTTTATAACATCTAAATACCGTCGGTGTCAATAATATTTTGTTTTAGTAGCCTTATTACAAGAGTTATACATCAGTAAAAATAATCTAGTGTACATTTTTGTACAGTACTGTAGATTAGATCAACTTAACAGTGTGGTATGCATTATCATTTATAATGTTAATCTACGATTATAACACTCCTCTAAAATTCTGTTCAATGCGTGTATCTGTTTATCAGATTGATCAAATTGTAAATTTTCTAATTAAATCAAGCACATTATATCTCAAAGTCGATAGCGCTGTTATACCATGTTGTTGGAAATGTTTAAAGAAGAGTTTGCAGCTACATTAGTAATTATTGGGATGGCGTAGCTATTGATATATCAACTAACCTGTTTAGAATGTCTTCTTGAGCGTTTGGATGAACGCTGATTGCTATCGTTAGCATTATCCATACCTTTGTTCCACTTTGTTCTTCTGGAAAGCTAAAAATACGAAGCGTAGACAGTAAATTGAAAATTTTAGAAGATTTTATTGTACGACGTATGAGACTGCAATGTGTATAGTAACGGAATAGTAAATCAATTAGAAGTTATTCAATGGATTATGTGATACATTCATTTATTGTCGTGAATTAACTTAATACAAAAGGATGAGATGGATTTTCAGATTTCATTATACTACCGATAACAAAACATAATCGTAATCACTACTCAAATACTGAATAATAGCAGTGTATTTCTGTATCACATTACATTATCGTCATCTAGATGTAATAATGTAATAGAAAGATCTTAACCTATT